AAGAAAAAATAACTATAAATCAAAAATCAAAATAATTCTTTTTTTTCTAGTTATATTTTCTTTAGATGTAAACATCAAGTAGTTACATGCTTAAAAAATAAAAAATTATAATCATAAATAATGTTAAAAATTATATAGGAAAAGAAGTATCTTAGTAAAAAAGTATCTTCAAAATACTAAGATACTGCAAAAAAGTAATTAAATACAAGATACAAATACGTATTTTGTATCTTGTATTTATTTTTTTGTATCCTGTATTTTAGATACTTTTATCATAGATAAGTCACATCTCTGACTATAGATAGTAAGAAAATGTAATAAATAAAAGAAAGTCGACCTCATCAACAGCCTATCTTAGTCCACTGCTGGACTACTCGCATCCAGCTCCTGCCAGCCATCTTGCGCAAATCGTCACTCCATCGTGCCTGAGGACGTCCTACACTACGTTTGCCTAGACGCGGTCTCCACTCCAGAACTCGTCTACCCCAACGGTTATCGGTTCTTCGACAAATATGGCCAGCCCACTGCCACTTCAACTTGCTAATCCGGTGGGCTATGTCGATAACTCTGGTTCTCTGCCGGATTACCTCATTTCTGATGCGATCCTTCAGAGAAACGCCGAGCATAGCCCTTTCCATACCGCGTTGAGCGACTTTGAACCTGTGGACCAGCCGTACCGCCAGTGTCCACTGACTTTAGACACTGTGGGATCGACGATGTCAGGACTTGACGTAACTTCCCAAACGCTGCCCAACCTAGCTGAATTCTTCTATTCACCTCGTCCTCAAAGTTGTTTCTACCTAACTGCAATGTCTGCCCGAGGTACACATATTTTTGAACAACTTCGAGAACGGCATTGCGTGTATTGCAATCGGTTCCGGTAGAACATGTTCATTAAACATGACCTTGGTTTTATCCAAGTTCATCCGTAGGCCGATGCGTATAGAAGAGTAAGCCAGGTCATTCAGCATCTATTGTAGGTCCTGCAGGGTTTCTGCCATGATGACGATGTCGTCTGCAAATCGCAAGTGAGAGATGCGTTCGCCATTTATGTTGATGCCACGTCCTTTCCAGTTCAGCGTCTTGAACATATCCTCCATTGCATTAGTGAACAATTTCGGGGAAATAACGTCCCCTTGTCTCACTCCACGATGCAATGGTATGGGATTTGTTTGCTGATTCTGTACTTGGACAGACATGGTGGCGGCTTCGTACAGACATCTAATCACTTGGATGTATCGCCAGTCGACTTGGCAACGCTGCAGGGACTCCAGAACAGACCAGATTTCAATCGAGTCGAAGGCCTTCTCATAGTCCACAAATGCTAGGCACAGGGGCGGCTTGTACTCTTCAGTCTTCTGTATAATCTGCCGCACTGTGTGAATGTGGTCTATGGTGCCGTATCCGCTCCGAAACCCAGCCTGTTCCGGTGGTTGGAAGTCATCAAGTCTTCGCGCAAGACGGTTCGCGATCACTCTTGAGAACAGCTTATAGACGTGGCTTAGAAGGGATATGGGTCGATAGTTCTTAAGTTGGTTCTTGTCCCCCTTTCTAAGAACAAGACAACCACACTCCTACTCCTCGCCTCCGGAGTTCTCCCTTCGAACAGGACAGTGTTGAAAAGCTTTTGGAGCTTCCTCAGTACGGGTTTACCTCCAGCCTTCAAGAGTCCTGTTGAAACACCATCCTCTCCAGGGGCTTTTCCATTTTTAAGCTGTCCAAGAGCAATCTCGATTTCGCCAATACTGACTTCTGGCAGGTCTTCGGTGAAGTGGCGTGTTAATGTGGCCCTAGAATCCACATTTCCGGGATCGGGTCGAGATGCATGTGATGCGTACAACTGGCTGTAGAAGTCTTCCACTTCCGAAAGGACTGCCGGCTTTGAAGCAACAACTTCCCCACTTGCTGTGGTCAACTTCGTCAGATGGCTTCTTCCAAGAGATTGTACGAACACTTTGGATCTTCGATTCTGCTCGATCGCTCTCTCGATCGAGAGAGTATTGGAGCACCGGAGGTCGTGTCGTACGTGCTTACTGATATCTTGGTTTAGAGTCCGCTTTGCCGACGAAGTGTCGGGTGGATTTTCACGTCGTTCCTTCATTAGCCCTAAAGTCTCTTCCGAAAGCTTTTACTCCCTGTCCTTACGCTGCGTTGCACATAATCTCGTACCCTCTTCCCTGAGGATCCGAACCATATTTTCGAGGTTTTGGTTTACGTCTGTTGTGGTTTCCACGGCAGCAAATCGGTTCTCCAGATTTGACTGGAACATTTCAGATCCTGTTATAGATTGGAGCAGAGTAGGTTGGAGCCTGGATTTCATGAAACGGACGCGCTCGGCCTTAAAGTTGATATTCAAAGAGCCCCGGATGAGTCGGTGATCACTACCGGTATTGAACCTGTTGATCACTGATACGTCTCTGAATATGTACCTCTTGTCCGTCATGATGAAATCGATCTCATTTTTAGTCATAGTGTCGGGGCTTTGCCACGTCCACTTCCTTTGGGGCTGTTTCTTGAAGAAAGAGTTCATCAAGAAGAGTCTCTTCTCAGAAGTTCACGAGCATTTGCCCCCTATGATTTCTGCTTCCAAATCCATGGGATCCTACTACCGATTCGCTGCAATTCTGTACTCCCACTTTAGCGTTGAAGTCCCCCATAATAACGTTGTAGTGGGTCTTAGTAGTGGAGTGGAGGGCCCTCGATATATCATCGAACATATCCTCCACTTCGTCGTCCGAGTGTGTCGAGGTCGGTGCGTACACTTGCACCACCTTGAGGCTATACCTCTCGGTGAGCTTTATAATAAGGTACACTACCCTGTTCGACACGCTGGACATTTCCACAATGTTATCGGCAAGGGACTTATTCACCAGAAACTCAACGCCACCTTGGGACTGTTGGTCTCCCCCGCGGAAGTACATTAGGTGGCCCGATTCGAGTGTTATGGTGTCCTCCCCCTCTCTTCGGGCTTCACTTAACCCTAAAATGTGCCACCTAATCTTCCCAAGTTCCATCTCGAGTTGCGCCAGATGCGAGTCAAGCCGTAGCGTGCGTCCGTTGTACGTCGCCAGGGTCAGTCTATTGTGGTGGTCTCCCGTAGCCCGGACATTCTTCGCACCCCCCACCCCGCTGTTACCGTGGTCGCCACCGTGACCAGGAATAGCGGGGCTACCGGGAACTGGGGGCCGTGGCTTTTTGTTTGTGTGCATTCAAGGTATTGCCCATAATCGCCACGCTGGGCAGGCGCGTTGGCGATCGCAGAACGTAGGTTATTTCACTGATGACGCTGCTGCCCGTCACCAATGAGATTTTCCTCCCCTACGTCGTTGGATGGTTATACCGCCATCGGTCGGTTTGCCAGAGCCTCGTCTGTTGATCAACAGGGTGCACCGCGTGAAGGTGAGGTTGGCTTAGGTCTTGCAGGTGTATTAAGAACCCCTTACACCCCCATAAAAGAAAGTCGACCTCATATAAACAGAATTAGTAAAAAATAAATTAAATAATTATTATCCCCTATTCTAATACTCAAATGAAAGTAAAACTAAGTACCTCAGAATACTAGCAGCTACTCGTTCTCGTCCTATAGATCTAAAAAACCTTGTTATCTGGACTGGAACAAAATCTGCCACTGATTTTGCTCTAGACTGTAAGGTTTTAATGGTTAGCATGGAAGGCCGGTCCGCCTTACCCGGTAGATCATTAAAAAGGGTGGACAATTAAAAAAATCAAATCAAATTTTCTCGGCGTTTTGTTGTTGTCCTTTAAATCAGAAGGATTTCGGTACGTGTTTCGAAGTAAGATGCCCCACGACAATGAACGAAATGAAATAGAGAAAAATGCGGTTCTTGTCGATTCTTTACAGTATAAGAGCGGCCATATACGGACAGCTTGAAGCAGTCAGGATGATCTGCTTGAAGTTGCGAACTGCATAGTGAACTACAGTCTGCTTCGTACACACATACTCGTACATGGACGGCTCGAACAGTTGTCGCAACAGCTCGCGTGGTTTGGGCGGTTGATGGCGCGGCGAAATGACAGCTTCTGTTGACTCTCTTGCGTACCAGTGATGTAGGTTTTGACGTTCAGAATAACTTGTAACAACAGGATAGATTGAACTTGCGCTTCAGTTCCTCCTCCCTAGATCTCCCTAAATTAGTAAATCCAATCAAAATATAGGACAGTATCGAATAGGTTAACTCACTAGGGTAAATACGCCCCTGTTTGTACCTCTAATGATATGTGAACTCGCAATTGATGTATTTATTGAATCTATTGGAGGTTGACAAATCAAATGACGAAAACTTAGTTATTTAAAAAATAAAAGAAGAATTTAAACGACCCGTATAATTCCCATCAATAAAAACAACACAACAGGTTTACACCGTACCATTATAAATATTTAAAAAATATATATGTACCTACATGTAAAGATTTTTTTATTTGCGGAATAAAACAGTTTTTATACAAAAATAAACTATTTACAAACAACCAAATTTTGACGTGACAACGTCTTAAATTAGGTTGCGGCTGGGAGTCACTTATGAAAAAGTGTAACGCTCGGTAACGTTACGATGAGTCTCTCGTGTTAAGTTTAAGTTTACATGTACAATGTTTTAGTAAACAAAATATATTTCTATAGTTAAAATTTGTGCAATTCTTATTTTCATTCAATTCCTTGTTCCTATTGTGCAATTTAATTATATTCATATCAATAAATATTCTACCGAGAAAAAGACGTTGTCACGTAAAATCTTCGCCCGTAAAACCGACTTTACAGGCAACCATTTTTTTTTTCTTTCAACTTATCTCTCTTTTATAATTACCACATATTATATAGTCAACTTTTCCATTTCCTTTAGTTTCTCACACAAAACTTCTAACCTACTTATAAATTATATACTCTTCAATGCATTTTAATTTTTAAGTACTTTTTATTACGTTTTTTTAATTACCTTTTAACAAAAATAAACTTTATAAGTATTATCTATTTATAATCACAACCAGAAGGAATGTTGCAAATATGATTGAAACATTATTTTTCGAAACTATTCTATTTTTGTTCAGGACAAGCGCACGACTGCAACCATTGTTACTATTCTATTATAATGTAATCGATTATGTCAATTATTTCTTTTATAAAACAACAGCTTGTGGTACACATCTCCGTTCCCAAGTACCTAACTAATATTATAAATGGAAAAAACGTTAATTTTAATTTTGTGTACAATCTGCATTGAACATTGTACATTGAACAATGCTCTTTCTGATGTGTAGCCTCTTTCTGTTAGTAATTATTGAATCAACGAGATATCTCCCAGTCTCTTAATAAATAACATCACTTTTACTTTCCATTTTAACCCGTATTTTAGAAAGATCTTTTACAAGACGCAGCAACTTACACCCCTCTAAAGTAAAATACGTATAGTTCAGTAAATAACAACTTAATTCATTCTTATGGCGCGATTGCATTTGGTCGTTAGCCCGTATACGAGTGCCAATAGAAGTCGGGTAAACGACTAAGTGTAAACGAACGGAGACGAGTACGCCCGTATTCGAGTAGATTTCCTTTTGTTTACCCGATACTGTCTTCCAGCCCGTATTCCAGAGTAAATATTGCTTCGGGTGTCCGAATTCGAGTAATGCCTTTCGTGCACCCGAATCCGGCTAACGACTAAATGTAATTGCGGCATAAGCTTAATGATTGTTTATACGCCTAGATAGATCAACCCAAATAAACCACGCAAAGAAAACGGCTCATGTTACAATATGTGCGTGACTCTAATGTCAAATTGTTTTAAAGCAGTTAATATGTGCGTGTGTAGCGACGAGCATATGTACCATATGTAGTAGATATTTTTTTCGCCGCTTTCCTGCAGGCAATACGGTATCTAGGGTGTATATCAAAGCTCTTAAGTTAAAAGGCCTATGCTTATCACATTATGTTAAAGTTAATTTTTCTTCCTAATTTTGTCCTTCCAGCACCACAATATTGACTCCTTTGCCAACTGCCTCGCCTAGTTTAACGGGCGCCACGCTGGCTACGACGCCGTCTCGCGGCGAACGTACTACGTACTCCATCTTCATTGCAATCACTACGAACAGGGGTTGGCCTTTCTCCACCTGTAATTGGATACTTAATTATAATACTCTTTGAGACATCATCATTACCCTATTGATGTCACCACCGCTGGGGCATATACTTTCCCTGTGCATCCACCAGGAGTAGGGAGATTGGGCCATGACCCACCACGCAGGCCCGGGCGGATTGGTTCGTGCTAACGACTGAAGATGCAGCCGTGACCAACGGCTTAACGTGCCTTCCGAAGCACGGAGAAACTCAAGATAATAATGTTTTGGTCATCCATCCAACGACCGGCCATTGCGAAAGCTGCTTAACTTCCACGATCACACGCCAAACGCGCCATCGAGCTTCTCAACATAATCTTCGCGTATTAATTTAGTCTTCCCTTTCAATTGTTCCCGCAGTAGGAGACTGATTGATACTTTGGCTTAGGCACCTCCAATACTGTTTGTCCTTTTAATTCCACTGACCTTATCCCCCTCGTTGATCATAACCCCTTCGACTATTCCCGCAGTAGGAGAGCTGGCACTGTCCACAAGCCAACTCCAATACAGTTTGTCCGTTTATTAATTCCACTGCCCTTATCCCCATTGTTGACACTAATCCTCTCGAGTATTCCCGCAGTAGGAGAGCTAGCACTGTGCACAAGGCAACTCTAATACTATTTGTCCATTTATTAATTCCACTGACCTTATCCCCATTGCTGACCTTAACCCTCTCGAGTATTCCCGCAGTAGGAGAGCTGGCACTGTCCACAAGGCGACTCCAATACTATTTGTTCATTTATTAATTCCACTGACCTTATCCCCCTCGTTGACCATAACCTTCTCGAGTATTCCCGCAGTAAGAGAGATGGCACTGTACACAAGGCAACTCCAATACTGTTTGTCCGTTTATTAATTCCACTGACCTTATCCCCCTTGTTGAGCATAACCCTCTCGAGTATTCCCGCAGTAGAGAGTTGGCACTGTCCACAGACTGATACTTTGGCTTAGGCAAATCCAATACCGTTTGTCCGTTTATTAATTCCACTGACCTTTTCCCCCTTGTTGACCATAACCCTCTCGAGTATTCCCGCAGTAGGAGAGCTGGCACTGTCCACAGACTGGTACTTCGGCTTCGGCAACTCCAATATTGTTTGTCCCATTAATTTCACTGACCTTCTCCTCCTTGATGACCATAGCCCTCTCGAGTATTCCCGCAGTAGAGAGTTGGCACTGTCCACAGACTGATACTTTGGCTTAGGCAACTCCAATACCGTTTGTCCGTTTATTAATTCCACTTACCTTATCCCCCTTGTTGACCATAACCCTCTCGAGTATTCCCGCAGTAGGCGAGCTAGCACTGTCTGCTAGGGCCGCGCTGTCCACACCGCCTATAGACTGATACTTTGGCTTAGGCAACTCCAATACTGTTTGTCCGTTCTGTCGATGATAAAAAAATAACATTTACTACTTGCATTGAGGCTGTACTATGAATTCTTAACGCCAGGAAATTTCTGTAGTTCGAGCAAGAAATCGCTATATGCACTGTAGAGCGGTACCCAGTTTTAACGTAGGTATTGTTAGCGAAGTTAGCTGCCGTCGTTTGCACTACTCAACTCCCTAATTTTCGTCGCAATTTGCATGAGGGATCGAATGCAGTATGTGGAGTTTGGTGGGTAAAAATCTGAGTCCTATTTTGAGTCAGGGCAGCAACGTAGGCCCATTAGAAATTATCGTTATGATAAATGACTTGCCAGAATTGGTCGAGGATGCTCGATGTCTACTCTTCGCAGATGACCTGAAATTGTTGTGGACCATAAAGTACTGCGAGGATTGTGAACGGTTACAAGGAGATTGACAGGGTGGTTAAGTGGAGACGAAAAAATAAACTGCAGTTTAATCTCAATTTTTTTTCTATAATATCTTTAAGTAGAGCACAAATTCCACTGCACTTCGACTATAAAATTGACCATTCAAAATTACATAAAACTGAGACAGATATTTGGGAGTTCTATTAAATCACAAATTAAATTTTAAAGATCACATTATTAATATCTGTAAAAAATCATACAGAAGTGTGGGTTTTGTTTTACGTCAGTCAGTATGTTTTACGAATATGCTGGTGCAAATCGGAAAGAGTACAATCGTTACTGGCCTATATCTTGATTTGATTTAATAATTCTTGGGGGAGGGAGAGGGGGGCTGGTGCAAATCGGATAGAGGTCGCCTTTGCATCTACTGTTTTTTGTTGTAGGTCTTTCGATACATCTACTGCTTTTGTCTATAACACCTTTTCTATAACGCCTAAATGTATTTGCCGATTCTATTGATATATTGATTAATGGCATATTGGTGGAATATATTTAATGTAAGTATTTGAGTATTGTATTTTGAATTTTAAATTTTATTGACACTAATATTTTAAAGTTGTTTTAATTGTATTGCAATATTTATAATCGGAATGGTAATGCATCTTCAATTAAAGTTATTTAGTTTTTTATTGACTTTTAGTTACATTGACATTTGATTATTTATTGACATATACACTAAATTTTTTTATAGTTTATAGTATTGAAATCATAATCCAACTAACGTTTTAAGTATTTAATGTCGGTTTTATTTGATAGGACGACTAAACTGTTGAATTAGGTATATACCTGCCCCCATAGCATGAGCACTGCTATATGATATATAATACCTTTTTATCACAGTCAATTGTCAAATTACTATGGAATTTGACAGTTAGATGCGATAAAAACCTGGACTTAATGTAAATTGTAGTGCTCATGCTACTGAGGCTGTATTAATAGTGTAATGTGTTTAAAATCAAAATAAAACAGTTGCCATCGCTTGGTGTGAAATTATTATAACATGGCCTCAGTTAACTTTAAAGAACACCAACACAATCGCCATACCATTTAATTATGGCAATCCATTTAATATTATAAATGTGAAATTTTATGTGTGTTACTCGATCACGCAATAACTACGGAACGGATTCGGATGAAATTTGGTACGCATATAGTTTATGACCTGGATTAAGACAAATAATACTTGTTATCCCGGAAAAGTGTTAGGTTCCTGAGGGATTTTCAAAAACCTTAGTTATCGCGGCCATAACTGAATTTGTGAAACGGTGCGCACATCAGCAATGCGAGGATGTGCAGTGGGTTCTTTTTAAACTGACTGGCAGTGTCTCGCTCGCCTCCGTCAATAGCACGTTGTCACTTGTTTGTATGTACAAAAGTTCCACCATTTCTTCTTATATGACTTTTGCGTAAATTTTCCTATACGTTAACCTAGTGCACACTACGAGCTTTGCAAAAATTTTCATTGATTATGCGCTTCTCAGCGCACTCTGCTGGTCGGAGCATAATTAATCTATCCAAAAGATATCAATTAATCAATCAATCGAATCAAGTAGTTCCTGAGATCAGCGCGTTCAACTAAAGAGACTAACAATCTGCTTTAAAATATAAAACAGCTAAGTACATACCGGAATCTCGCTTCTAAACCTTTTCCACCAGAACTGTGCTGACCAAGGCGAGGCCAGGTAAATAAAGCGATTTATACATTTGAATTTATTGCACTTTTCAACTTACCTCATCATATATATGGACCTGATTCTCATGCGTTAAAAGGCCGACGCTTCTTCTCTTATCACTAATGGTGGTGTCCAGCTGAACCCCCATATCGGTCTCCTTCAACGAAGCCTCCACCCGCTTCCATTCGCCGCCATTTATTTGGACTTGGTATGTTTTAGGTGTGACGTCAAACTGCACCGTTACTTTTAACTCTGAAAATGTGTTTTTAAAGTTACAAGGGTGGTAAAAAAACTTTTTATAGCCCGCCTGATAATAAGCGGTCAACATAGCCTATAGACGCTTGCGATATAATAAATGAGGAGTTGGCGAACAAAACGGTATAATTACATAAAATTAAATTTTACAGGTGCTTGACTTGACTGCTGTATAAAACTGAATGACATAGCTTTTGGCATGGTTTTTAATTTATAAATTTTAACACTGTTTTAGGAGAGTTTGATTGAAAATTATTTGAGATTCAAATTGAACGGGCCCGAAACCTTCGGATTGTAAAAAAAAAATAGTTTGACCAAATGCGTAATTATACCGTTTTGTTCGCCAGCTCCTCAAATATCATACGCGCCGTTGCCTACCCTGACCCACTCCCCTACTCCGTGGAGCCCTGGAACCTTACTCACCGACACAAACACAACACCACCAAAAGGTAGTGTAATTATACCGTGGTATTCTGTAAGCTGGAGGTAACTTCCCTAAACGAGCGCTCCAATACGAGCGGAAACCCCGCTATATACCTCTCGCATGTTTTTTTGTGTATTGATTTTTATCGTTGCTTATTATGCCAAAGTTGTGTTTGGGAATGAGGGATAGAAAGTATGTATGAACGCATAAAGACGCATATTTTTGTATATAGAGATAACTTTGTATTTTAATAACACTAACATTTTACCAACTCAGAAAAAAAAACGTCATTTCTGTGACGCACACATTGACGTTAGGTTCACAGGCATTCTAATTCTATAATATTCGGCGTTGTCATAATCAAAAGCGGTCAGAGTTTATGTTATTATTTTCAATGTAATGATTTAACTATGCACACTATTGAACGAAAATTTTGCATTAAGGCACTCTATTATTATTTCATAAATTTTCCAATTTTATAAAGTCTGAAAAATTAAATGACAAAGGAAAGTAATTCGTACCTGTTTCGTTGAATTTCAATGGTATCGTCTTTTTTAATTGATAGTTTGGTCTCCAGCCTGCCGCGTCCAAGGAAATTCCTTTCCAACTGTCATTGGCTCTGCTCATATTTTGGGAATAAAGAAGCTGGAAAAATATACTTAAAATGTAATGAAACTAAAAATTACAAAGCATTAGGGACAAGTGATACAAAAAAAATATAAATACGTTAATTAAATGAGAAATTCAGATTATCGCCCAATTCTAAACCGAACGCTACACAATTACAGTCATGTTAGCCGATTTTCTTCTGTCTTATAAGATTTTCGATTAAATTGAATATCATAGTTAAAGTTCTTTAAAAACAATGTCATGAGTTAAATCTGCCTAAACAAATAATGATGTATATAGAGGAAACCTGTAATTACCTTTACTTTTAGATTATACTTTAGACCCATGTGGGTATACAGATATATACATGGTAACGAAGTTGGTTTCTAAATAAAAGATACAATAGTTTAGTTATAGTTCGCATTAAGGGTGTTTTTGCATTGCATTTGAGTGTCGTTTTCTTTTTAAAAACAAGGCAAAGTACTTAAGTTACTAATAACTCTTGCGCAATTACGTTGACACGGTGACACACAACACCTCAATGAGATGTTTAGGAAAAAAGAAACGATTCATTCCAGGATTTTTAAGAGAGGTTCCAATTCGAACGGAAAATCCTTTATGTAGGGCATAGATAGAGGATTTTCCGTTCGAATTGAAGCGCCTACCTGGGGAAGTAACCTCCGCCGTACAGAAAACCACAGAACATTACGTGTTGGTTTCGTATTTCTGTATTCTGTCGGTGAGTAAGATTCCGGGTTTGGGTCAGGGTAAGCAAAGGCGAAAGTGATATATTTGGTATCGCAAGCGTCTATAGGCTAGGGTGGCCGCATACCATACGGCGGGCCATATGCTTGTTTGCCACCCTTCTTAAATAAAAAGAGGATCTATTTTTAACCGACTTCAAAAAAAGAGGAGGTCCTGTATTTTTTTTTATGTATGTTCACCAATTTCTCCGTCAATTGTGGACCGATTTCCTAAATTATTTTTTTACTAAAGAGCACTCTTCCAAGGTAGTCTAATGCAATTTTCACTAAAATGAATGAAATAAAAAATTTAAAAACAAAAAAAAACTGACTTCAAAATCGCAAATGGAACTTAAAAGTAAAAAATTATATCTGGTTCATGATTTGGAAGTCGGGCAGGGTTAAGATTGAAACATTAATAGATCTTCGTTTCTGATCGGTAATAATGCGTCTTTCAATCTTGACCCGCCCGACTTCCAAATCATGAACCAGTTTTTTTTTTACTTTTGTTCCATTGATTACATCGATTTTGAAGTCGGTTTTATTTTTTTATTTTTTTTTTTAACAGTTATTCTTTTCTAGTACTCACATGTCCCAATGCCGCTTGTATGGCTTTTTCTTCAACGGTAGCGTTATCAGCCTGAGGGAACAGTTCAGCCTCGTGTTGAGGAATGAACGCAGTGTGAACGTCCCCCTTGACGAACGCTTTCGCACCACTCAGGCGCAGTAGAAAGTTCACGTTCGTCTCTAACCCGGCTACCTACAGAAAATACATAAACCATCTCAATCATCAATGTATTTTTCAAAATTAGAGTAGGTATTCAATTTTCCTTTAAGATATGCAATACACGTATGGTTTATGTATGATAGTTTGGGCCTGGTTACCTGTTAGTACAGCTATTCGTAGTTACCTTTTCGGGCACCAGTCCACACATAATAGATCTATGTATTTGTATTGATTAAGCTAGTTACCTATTGTACTGTTACACCTTTTGTGAGTAGAAAATAAATGGTATATTATTAGTATATTGTTATCTGTTTTATTATATTATTTTATTTACATGGCTAAAAAAAAACATTTTAATTTAGGAACAAATCTAAAGATTTTTTTTGATCCAGGTTACAGACATGATTTAAATCCGCACCTTCCGCAGTCTGAAATAACCAACAACCAACAATTGTTATTTTTCTTTTAAATGTTTGATACATGTAAAGGTATTTCTTTGACAATGTGGATAACCTACAATGCAGAGACAGCGACAGCTTTGCAGCCTTAGAAATGCTAGAAGAAATTTGACATGGCCATTGAAAGTCTCGGTAGCATAATTAGTGCGTCCGTCCGGATTGCGGAAGGTGCGGGTTTGAATCATGTTAACAAGGTAACGATTCGGCTAAGATAAAGTAATAAACGTGTTCCAACAGTTTTGATTTTGATCACAGTTGCATATAGAGTTTGAAGTTATTAAAACTTACCTTATACTCGGAGAGTTTAGCTCTGGTCTTGTCCAAGGCCTCGGTGCGGTCGCGGCCCCAGACCACAAGTTTAGCGATCATGGGGTCGTAATGGACGGATACTTCTTGACCTTCGCGTACACCTGTCTCCACCTAATAATGAAATATGATCATGGGTATAATTATTATTGTATTCAACATGTAGAAAGGAGTAGTGTATTTTATCAAACAGCATAATACAATTTTAAGAGGTTTATAGGCTTAAGGCTAGCTATTGTATACACGTAATCCGGCCGACATAGGCGGTTCGACAGTATTTGTCGAACAACAAAGCCGACCTGTAGTAATTACTGCCGAACATTATTATCTCTTCTTGGGTCAAGGCTAAATACTTTTACTAAAAGTTGTTAATTACATACGTTAATAACATTTTAACAGGCTTCATACCCACCCTCACGTTGTCTTCCGGTTTGGGTTGCGTCAACCGATGCAAAGTACCGGCTCGTGGCAAGAATCCCGCGCCTGGTTCTTCTGCATATATGCGGCATTCGACTGCATGACCGCGACGTATTATCTCTTCTTGAGTCAACGGAAGCGGTTCACCTGCTGCGACGCGAAGTTGCCATTCTACCAAGTCCGTTCCTGAATGACAATTGTAATAAGTGTAATTTATGATCAGCCTATTAGTGTCTCCACTGCTGATGCACATGGAATAGAGATTGGGGCATAAGCCATGGTCCATAACGCAGGTCCAATGCGGATTGGTCGGTACTAACGACTCTCATTTATTTAACGGCTCTACGGCTCTAATTCTAGGCTGTGGACTTAGTATCCTTCGCCTTTGCCTTCGAAAAAATAACAACAACAAAAAGAAGTAAGTAAATGAAATTAGCACAATTCATGGTGTGATATATGGAACGTAGGATGATGTAGGCAGGCGCAGGATGTCCCTGAACTGAAAACTGCGCATAGTTGCGCTCGCTGCTAATTTCACAACCGCCATAAAGTTTGAATTGCAATATAGTAGTAACCTACTCGCTCACTCACCGGTGATCATTTCAGAGATAGGATGCTCAACTTGAAGTCGTGTGTTCATCTCCATGAAGTGAAACTCGTGGGTGACGCGGTGCAATATGAATTCCACAGTTCCTGCGCCTACATAACCCACGGCACGGGCCGCTCGAACCGCCGCTTCGCCTAAAGACCTTCGCGTCTCCTCTGATAGACCTGGCTGAATAATATTTAATGATTCAATGGTGTCGATTCTGGCATGATTCTCTTATCCTAAACTTCAATTTGACAACATTGTATCCTAGTCATACTCTATATAGAACGAAAGGGAGAGACTGATGTTAAATTTATTTTTAAGTTTAGAGAATCATGCCAAAATAGATATCAATGGTGTCCTTCATCTTCCTTTTTTTCTATATAGATTATGACAAGAATACACTGGTGTCAATTCCGGCATGATTCTCTACTCTTTACTGAAAGGAAAAGAGAGACTGACGTTAAATTTAGTTTTAAGTTTAGAGAATCATACCAGAATCGACACCATTGTATCCTGAAATTGGAAGTGTGAATACTGATTGTATGCTTCATCAACTCACAAGTCTGCAAATTATGTGCAAATACAATGTTTCGACTGAAAAATCAAAAGTATAAAATAAAGTCAAACTTACAGCTGGAGCTTCCTCTATAATTTTCTGGTGACGTCTTTGTACTGAACAATCTCTCTCGAATAAATGTACCACATTGCCATGCATATCAGCAAACACCTGGAAAGTATATTAATTATATGGCAATACTATCTGTACACAGTTCGAGGAAATAATGAAACTTCAATCGTTAAGCGACGTCCCAATAGCTCTAAGGCCGTATACAGAAAGAAAGTTGGAAGCCGACCAGGGCTTATCAGCGCTTGTCGGCGCTGGTCCTTGCCGGTAATTGGCGCAAGCATTTCTATGGACCAGCGCCCATAAGTGCCGATAAGCGCCGACAAGCGCTAGTCAGCGCTGGTCGGCTTCCAGCTCTTTCTGTATACGGCCTAACATTCGGGAGCATTAGGTGTCAAAGTGACAACTGACAGATGTCAAGAATTATTCCCCCAATATGCGCGAGCACGTCTAATTCATTCATTGATTGTTTAGATGTTGATGTGTCTACTTATTAATTTCTTTGTAAAGTAAAACAAGTTTTCTTATTAATACTAATAATTTAATACAGTAATGCTTATAGGTACTTTCACATTTTACTTTGTGAATAATTGCACACATCTTTTCTATCAAAATAAATCAACTTACTTGAACTTCCACATGCCTAGGATCTGTTATATATTGTTCTAGTAACATGTTGTCATCTCCAAATGATTTCAATGACTCCCTTTTAGCAGACTCAAGTTGAGGTAAAAAGTCAGCTTCAGTCATGACGATTCTCATGCCCTAGAAGAAGAGGAAACAAAACACACCAATAAAAGTCAGTTGATAGCATCTTTATATTTATCATTTTTATCAAATATATTTAGAAAAATTTAAACGCAAGTATCTCGTGGTAATTTGTTATTTTATAAATTTATACACCGTGAATTTGAGTTATCTGAGAAACTTACAAGATAATTCAGACAAAAATTTTGGGTTGAATTTAAGTAATTAACTGCTGAGGCCGTTCAAGTATTACGTAAGCAGATTTATTACAATTATTTACTCCCTCCTCCCCCTTGTCAGCAAAAGTAAACAAAGCTCTTACCCCCCTTCCATGCTTACGTAAACATTGGTACCTATATGCACTTGTCCTTCAATGTATTCTGTTTTTTTTTATTGATTCATGAATCGAATTTTTGCTATATATATTAATCGCCGCCCATGTCAGCAAAAATAAGCAAAGCCAAGACCCTAAAGACCCCTAACCCCCTTTTTTTTTTATAAATTTATTTAATCTTTATTGCCTTTACAATGCAAATGGCGGACTTAATGCCAGTATGGCATTCTCTACCAGTCAACCGGAAAGAAGGTGCAGAGAAAATGAAACTGCAGACAACGAATAGAGAAAACATTAAAAAATATTAATTACTTATACATTCAGACGATGCAGACCTAAAAAGGCTGCGAAACGTCAATAAATAAATAAAGTTTCGTGCATTAACCCATAAAAACTAGTTTTATTTAATGAGTGATGTGCGTGAAAACCTAAGAAACAAATATACTTATACATACATATATAAATATACATTATAGCAACCTATATAATAGGTACACACAAATGGTGCTTACGTAATACTTGAACAGCCCCAAATATGAAATCTATATTTTAATTGTCGTTGATTCAAATAAATCTACTTTTAGGATCTATATTGTTTAAATGCATATTAATTACATAATAGCAATGTTATTTACCATTTTATGCAGTTTTAGGATATATTGTAACGGCCATAAATCAATATTTTTGTATGGGGGTGTAGTATGTTTATTGTTTATAACTGTTCTCACTATAATAATTCACACGATTTTTAAGTTTCTTAGGTAACTTAAACTTTACTGTGTATAGTGACCTGTCACATACTTTACCGCCACCCCCTCGGACAGCTTTAATCATCAAGGGAAATCCTATCCGTTGAGCTTCAGCGTGCAATTTTTCAAGACTCTGGTCTTCACCATGATATCCCTTCACAATTGGAACTCCGGCTTCTGACATCATAGCTTTGGAGGTGCTGTAATAAATCAATACCAAAAAAGGAATTAGTCTAAGTTAGACACACTACTTATATAATTTTATGGCATTTTAAGAAAAACAGCTGCCTCAAGGGTACACAGAGTGCAGGTTAGTACAAACTCCATTCTGAAGACCATAGATACAAATATGTTTTACCCCCTATAAATAAATAGGCGAAACTCTGTATCACAGGTAGGTAGATTGTGGGCAAACAATTATTTTAATATTTATGTCTTGGTTGTGATTTAATTTTAAATATTTACTAACACAGTATATTAGTGCAATTGTTAAAACATTTTATGAACCACATAGCTGTTTAAGTAAATACACAAATAAATTAAAAAATATTATATACTTAAATGTATTGTTTTCATACAGTACAAAAGTGTGTAAGAATAAGAATTACATTAGGCAATACTCAGTCATTACATTTGGATAACAAGTAATTAAAAGACAATGTAACACATTTAACACAATATTCATAAAGTTGTAAAGACAATGTAACAAATTCAACACAATATTCACTGTTTCTATAAGAAAGTTCTACTTTCCAATAGGATAAACAGCTGCAGAAGTGCTTAATATAGGCAATTTTACCTCTTTATTCCCATATCCCTGATAGCTTTAGGTGGTGGTCCAATAAAGATGACCCCTTCTCCTGCACATTTTTCACAAAACTCCACATTTTCTGACAAAAACCCATAGCCAGGATGGATAGCTTGGCTATTTGATTTCTTGGCCACCTCAAGTATTTTTGCGGCATTTAGGTAACTCTGTGTAGACGGTGCAGGTCCAATATGGTAAGCTTCATCAGCCTATAAAAATAGTTTAGTGTTAACTATTTTCCCTGGATGATGTTCTTCATATAAATATCATCAAGGAAATATGTAGGATATGTAAGAAATAAATAAAAAAAAATATAGATTACAAGTAATATCTAAAAATTGTTTTTCCAAAAGCTTGAAAGGATAATAAAATATAGAAAATAAATAGAATTAAGTAATTAACTGTTACCATTTCAACATGCACAGCATTTTTATCAGCATCAGAAAAGACAGCTACAGTTCTGATGCCTAATTTTTTGGAAGTGCGCATAACCCTGCATGCTATTTCACCACGGTTTGCAATAAGCACTTTATGTATGTGTTGCCTCTGTACATCTTCTTTGAGAGCTTGCGCATGACTAAATCTTGCATTAGATACAAGACCCCAGTTGTGACTGAAATATTCATAGTTCAAATTCAGTTTAATCCATATTTTCTAGCAAAATTGAAGGGTCAATGAAAAAATTTATACATAAATTTATAAAACACTTACCAAATTTTATTTATGTGTCTTAAGTAAGACATGGTAGCAACCACACTAGTTAAAATTATCGATTTTATATCGGTGTTACTTTCGTTATCTACGCTGGCTGTTGACTGACAAAGTTGACTGATTACGCTCCACACAGGCCCCCTCGGTTACAAATAAAAGATAACGCTTCATAATGAACACATTATCAATACGATACGTTATACTTATCTCTAATTAGATTTGCAAATGACTTTTATTTGTTAGATTAGATTAGATTTCTTCAGTGATGGCTCCCTCAGCTTTTATTTGTTATAAACAAACAAAATAAACAACAAACTTGACAGCGAGCGCTAACCGGCTGACAATGACAAGTGAATGACAGTAAAGGACCAAGTGTATGTCGGGTCACGTGTACTGTGGGGTTCCGTAAATTAAAAAAAATAAATTAAAACGTAACGTGCATATAGTTGTAAAACAGCGTTTTTTATCAGATATTATCCAAAGTAGCCGAAAATAACGTTTAGACGGCGGTTAATAACCGCCTGTTTATCCGACTCAATACCAAAAGCAGAGTCCCGGCAAACAACAAACTGTGTCGCTCAGAGTCGGCCAGGTCGCTATATGTACAAGCCGGCACACACACATTCACACCATAGTCAGCCATTACGCGTGCAAACGTCAAAGCAGCCGATACGTTAAGTGGAGATAAAAATAAGTTAAAACAAGATGTCTTGCGTGGTAAAATGGTGTAAAAACCGTAGTGACCGAAAGAAAAAAAATCCAGGAATCACGTTTCATAGGTAAATGAACAATATAATCACTTTTTTCTAGTTTTTAGAAATCGAAATCAATTTTCATTCTAAGCACAAAATAATTAATCTAAAGTCCAGTGTTGTCAATGTTCACGTAACCATATTACCTAAAATATGGGAAATTGGGGTGACATTAGCTTCAATCTATTATTTGTTATTCTTTTTTATCAGATTCCCTAAAGAAAATGTAGAATGGAGAAATGACTGGATCCAAGTTATTAGGAATTGTAACGGAGATGATGAATGGATTCCAAATAAATATAGTGTCATTTGCAGTATCCATTTTGAAGCTGGAGACTTATATACTACTAAAAGAGGACTCCGGCGTGTTGTTACGCATGCAGTACCTCAAAAGGTAAATTAAAAATTTTAACCGACTTCAAAAAGAAAGAGGTTCTATACGTCATATTTGTTATTTTTTTTTTCAATTGTTGTTCGTGCATATCTCCGAGATTCGTGGACCGATTTTGATGATTATTTTTTTGTTTGAATCAGTTTATTAGCGAGATGGCTGTATTAATTAAGTGCAGAGCTGATGAGTATTTTCGGAGGGAAATAATGGAACTCCTCAATTACAAACAGTACTCAATGCATGTTTTGTTAATTTAAGAAATATAAAAAAGAATGCAGGCCTGGCCAGGCATATTTAGGTGATTTACTCTGGCTTATGAAAAGTGGAAAATATAAACTTTTTCATACAAAAATAAAAACAGACTTCATGTTAGTTTTCCAATTACAGAGCATAATGCGACTCAGTGGCTACCAATGCCGAATTATGCTGATGATTAATTGGAACGTGAATTAGTTTTCAAATGCACCAGCAAAGTGCGCTAAGTTCAGTGTTGAAAAAAAAGTGGAATATAAAAAAAGTCAATATTTGTTATATATAATAGTTTGAATTAACTTTGATTATTTAAAAAAACCTACAATGAAACAAAAGTTTTAAAATATTTTCAACGATAAATAATATTACTAACGATAATATTTAAACAAAACATTTCGATCAATGCCAACTTAAAAACAGTGCGTATGAACACAATTTTCGCCTTTCCAGTATCGATGGAAACGGTGCAGTGTGTTAAATTTTTGCCACGGGACCAACGTTCGACGCATCACCGCGGTCGTCGGTTCAAATCCCGCACTCGTGTTTTATTTTTTATTACATTTTTTTCCATTTTTTATATATTTGTTTTAGACCCCAGCACCTGTTCTTATTTTTATTTGTCTCCCTTTTATTTAGACTTTATAATTATAATTTTTGGACCTAAGGTGGTAAACTGTGGAGCATGTGGAAGTTTTTTGGCGCCGGGCAATGCTGTTGTTTGCTGTGCTTGCCCAATAAAATATCATAAGGCCTGCCTCGCCATCTATTAATATCAGAGAAAAAACTTGAATTAATATCAAAGAAAAAAAATACTGCATAAATAAATAGTATTATTGCATAAGTTGACAAATAATTCTATGCAATAGCTTTACCGCGGCAGTCCCCGAGTGCAACACGATTTTTTTTAAGTACACGATTTGCATACCTATTTTCTAAATACAGTGGAGCCCCGGTAATCCGGCCCCTGGCTAATGCGGCACCCCCTATAATCCGACATCGTCTATTACATACAAGTATTCGCTAATTCACTATTGAACAAGTTACAACTTGTACGCACCATCACAATTGTGCTCGACGCGTAGGGTATTGTTTTTTATATTTTTTTGTAAATTCTATAGCATTTGACGTTACTTTTATAATAAAACATAATCTTTCTATTGTGTTGTTTAATTTACTAAATTTGACATACATAACAAAGTATGTTTTGTAATCTTATCATTGGATCTGTAATTTGTCGGATTACAAGGTACTCTTTTGTAAAAAAATTCGGACTATAGGGGGTCTTAGGCAGTACTCTATAATCCGACAAATTCGATAGTTCGACACTGCCCTGCAAAATGTTTGTCGGACTACCGGGGATCCACTGCATTCTTTTAAGACCCTTTACTTTGATACCTCGCTTGACGGGTTATAAGCATTTTTTTTCTAAAGGTTTCATTTTGGCGCCTTATTATTGGGCATACATACATGCATACACGCTCGAAAAACATTATCCACCGCAGTCGGGTAAAATTTTGAACAATTAAAATATTTTGATCTTTTTACTGTGTTTTATTGGTAAAAAATTGGCTAACCTAGCAACCCTGCATTCACTCACTCATAGATAACCGCCGCCATTACGGTGCCTCACTTTTGTCTTAGCCGAAATTCTGTCCGCCTTTTTTTATACGTCATTGACCAAAAGGTGTTATAAGTTTTACAGTTCCTGTTTCCAAATTGTTATAATATAAGAGCCGTTATATACAAAAAGGTATTTTTACTAATATATTATGTCATGGTGTAAAAAATAAAATAATGTATAAGCAGCGTCTGATATTATTTTTTTATCAGAATCAATACCAAAAGGTCTTGTAATATTTATAGTTTCCGAGTCAAATTTTTTATAAAATACAAGCTGCTTTAAACTCATAGGTATTATTATACTAAATTAATACCTACCTACTTTGTCATGATTGATCTAAAACGTAAAATGTTATAGGACAATGGCGAAATATTTGTTGAAGTAAATCTTTAGCGTCTATAGATGTCATTATTAGAAATTATAATAAAATAATCTCAAAAGATTTATTAAATAATTGAAGAGGGTTGTCTAAGTCTGGAATTAAAATCTTAAAAAAAGGAAACTCAATTGACTATTTTTTTTTATTTGTATTGTGGCTTGGCGTCATGGCTTTTGAGTCATTTATTTTAAGTAATTTTAGTGCTTAAATCAACTTCAAGTATGTTGTTCGTATGTTTTGCATCGCTTTACACATAAACTATATTTAATTATCTGTCAAAAACACCAGGAAACATTATTTTTCAATATTATTCTGAAACCATAATAAATAAAATAATCTTCACAATACAAAAAGAGTATGGCGCCAATTATGTCACAAAAAACTATAACTGTCACTGTCATGCTTGTCATCGGTTTGTTGTTGTTATCATTATCGTTGCATGTGCATTTTGCAAAATTGCAAAGATTTAAATCGGTGTATTGTTTTTTTTTCTGAGATTTGTTTTTTTTATGTGATCTGGACTGCCTTCGGACTTTCGAGATCTTCCCCGGCGACTGTTGAGTAGTGCTTGCCTAAGAATTCCGAATCTGATATTTTGGACGAATTCTTGATGTGGATTTTGGACAAGATTCTGTTCCTTACTGTGGATTTTATTTCATTGTATCTACTATCTACTTAGATTAAAACAAAAACTATCTACGATATTGTGATCAAAGAAGATGTGGAATAAACAATATATAAAAAAATGTTTCATAGTCACTAATTTACGGGATAGATATACTTTTATAGTTCCGTTTCACGTATGTTTTATTTTGATCTAAAAATACTCTTGAACATTATTTTATAATTCCTTTTTGTATTCTTGGTATGACATAACCTCTAAAACTTCAATGTGGAATATCTATAAATCCAGACTTCCTATAATAAAATAAATAAAACGAATCAAATCGAAAATCTAAACTCATAATTTAGCATGTAATTCATTTATAGACGCAAAAAAATTGTCAGCAAAAATTTGTATGGGAGTTCGCCATTGTCCTTTATGAATTATTTCGCAATGTCCTCCAACACGACACATGATAAACAAATTCACCTACCTACTTATTTCTGACGTACATAATTGGTATTCGATCTGTAGGTATGCCGAAGAGCGAAAATGGTTAAAAACACCTTTAGTATCAAAACGGTTTCACATGTTTACCTATACGTCCGCTTTGTGTTTCGTATTCTTGGTACCTATTATGTGATCTGCCCGAGTAAGATGATGTATTTCAAAATAAATAGCTTAGATTAAATCAAAAAAGGAAGTTATGGCTATGCTTTGTATCTCAAAAGTGAATCGCTTTAAAGTGTCTCGCAGACATTTATTTTATTGGTCGCTCGTGTTTCACCACTCGCTTACATTGCAAGCGAATATAACTAGACTTCACCCTAGTCGTGGATGTAAGCGGCGTCTGTCTGTGAGACACTTAGTGCCACAACGTTCGTATAAAGTAATAGATAGGTAGTATGTAGATAAACAAAAATAATCACTTAGAACATAAAACAGATATAATAAAACATAATGAAATGTTTATAAACGTGCATAACCGCTGGGTGTACTACTAATTACTATAAATGTGAAAGTTTGTATGTTTGTTACTAATCTCAAAAAATTATTGAAGCGATTTGGGTGTGGTACGCATATAGCTGTTTTTGAGCTGGATTGAGACATAGGATACTTTTATTCCGAAAAAATGAGAGGCCTCTGAGGGATTTCCAAAAAAGGAACCACGAGCAGCGACCAGTAATTATATATTTGTCTTTTTTAGTATTATTTTAATACATGACGGCGAACCCATAAGGTTGCGATCACCAGATACACCATTCTCTTCGTTCATTTTGTTGGGACACGAAATAACACCACAGACAGCTAATCAATATCTTCTTTAATGA